TTGCACAGTTATGTGTACGTGAGTGAGTCATGCTTATATCTGAAAACGGAGTAGATTGATATATAAATTCCTGTTTCTATAAAATAGCAAAATGCTTGGAAGCTGTAGCATATGGAGCAAAAACCGATTTCAGATTTGAAATCAGCATTAAAAATTTATTTCGGTTGGGTTTAACATCTCTTTTAGTCGAAAACTGATAGAGTCAGAACATGAGTTCTTTTCAGCAGGCACTAGTCAGCCAAAGAGACGGACTTGCTGACCCTCACAGCGCTTGAGTGCATATCGTTTGGCAACAGGCACATTTAACGACGTTGTTGTTTTGTGCCTATACATAAAGACTCAGTTACATTGCCATTAGGCAAATGAGTTCCTTGACTTTGTCTAAGTTGAACCAGGCTTTACATTCATATCAGCCAAATCGCGGTGCTTAGCAGTTCGACAACTGGATGTGACGCAATCACTGACATAGTCCGTCCGGTTCGCGCCTATTTACGTGCCTACCCCGTCTTCCGGATCCCTCTCGGCACAAGTTGATAGTTTCTTGGGTGACCTGTTACTCATGGCTCTTGTATCGAGCTGCGTTAGAGGAAGCCGAAATGCTTTACGCAGCTACGGCGACAACGCACTTGAGGGTAAGGAATTTGTAAGGTTAACTGAAAGGTGCTCGAAGGGTCGTACTATGGGACCAGCAGGTAGCAATGATAAGGTAAATGCAAGGATGTCAGTAACTCCCTCATGATTCCGTACCATACGGCACTTCTAACCACTTCTGAGACCTCTGGATGAAATTTGGCTCGAGATTGTGTAGGTCATTGCTCGCAACCGACACCAGTGGCGCGTCTGCTGCCATCTCCTAATCGGATTGCCTGTTTAAAGTGTGTTTGGTTCTGAGTTATCTGCAGGTTAATGGCTGATTATGACGCGGGGCAGTGAAAGCCGCAAGGAAGCTGTCTCGCCGATGCCGCCTTATCTTTGCACGATAGCCAGCTGTTTGTGAAGCTATGTTGTTAACACAAGGTGTAGGCGCCTTGACACTGAATGTTTGCTCATGGCATTAAGATTTTCAGGTATATCTCCCTTCTCTCCCGCTTATTATTTTTTATTTCCTTGGTCCTCATGGTTGTATGGCAGCGAAGCATCAGTTCAAATGACTGATGTACTGCTGTTGATGATGATGGTCGCACATCGTCCATGTTTTCAGCATTTCATGTGTATGTACACCTAGAGGCAGTGTTAAATTAATGGTCCGCAGACACGCAAGAGCTTTTATGCGCGCTAATGAAAAATATTCATTCACTATTGGATGGCTAGAAAACATTTGGATTTTTCTTTGGTTGCCGTGTGAACGCGTTTTAGTGCGTCGTTTCAACGTGCTACTTATGAATATCGGACCATATTTTTTAAATGCACCGTATGTTTTATAGCAACGATCTAAACAATGGACATAGGGCTACCGAAAACTATGAAATATATATGTATAATAAGTACTAAAGATCACATTCGGAAACAGTCAAAGAAGCGTTTTCTTTGTTTTTCAAGCGCCGTTTTTCATTTGTCACTTAAGGGACTAAGATTTTAATAAGTTGACTCCGTACATTAATTCATACGGATCTTCGGTTTTCCCCGATTCCTTAACAGTGTCCATGCAGTAGCTTTTTCCAACTTTGCCTCGCCATTCCGGAAGACATAAGAGATTGACAACAGCTAGACTGGGAGTCAGTGCCTAAAACTTTTGTCTCCAGGTGCCCCGTTGCCCTGCGCGCTGTGGTAAACTCTCTTTGTCGCTCGCATAGTATGTGACCTAGCTATCTCACTTGGTGTGGTGGTATGAGCTGGTCTTCAGGGAGGCTGGTTTTGACCATCGCCGTTGCAAAAGAGCTATGCTTGGAAGACAGTCGTTGTCAAAGTCCGAAATCCGACGCGTCATTTACCCGGATCGGCCAGGAGTTACTACCGTGTAATAAATAAATGGTATATTCCTCGACCGTGCGAGGTACAGTCCAAATAGGTGATCTAATCAGTGATTGTTCGTCACGATTGTCTCCGTTTACAACCATACCAGAGACCCAACCGTGTGCCACTACAACCCATCGCGATAGGGTACCCAACCAGACAGTAGCAGTTGACATCATGAGATCTTTACCCTGGACGGCTCGAGGCAACCGTTATATTTTAGTCATGATTAGAGTGTCTGTCGTAAAATGGATGTGTGTTTTGGTGATATCACAACGCATTCCAATAGGTCAGGAAACCACGGAGCATATTGAAACTTGGCGCCTACTGTCGTCCTCAAACACCCGTCGCTCCCTTAACGGTTCGCGTTAGTCCACCCACTGTTAGGAGGGGAAAAAATTTCTTTTTCACTTTATGTGGGCTGCCCACTAAATCGTTCTCTTAGAGTCTGTTGATACACCGGTTTGTCTTCTCGCAATAGTTGAATACACTGGTTACGGTAAACAACGTGTGCCCGCCAAGTGTTTGGTCTCGGATAGGATTTAGGGAAATATCATGCCGCATTTCAAGTACCTATGCACTTCCGTGTCCTACATCTTACAAACGAGACCGTATTGTCCTACTTGATAGTCTTAATTTCTGATGCATCAGCAACCGGGTCTTGAACTTGCTGACTAGTCTTTCCTAGGTAATATCCGGTGCAGCTTCGGCTAGTAAACTCCAATCGGTTGCTTCAACTAGTTGGACTGACGTGTTGTATCGCGTTATGGTTTACTTTACTTGGGGCGCTCTGTGTAGCATTTGTAGTGGAACAGCAAGTTTGCATAAGCACTGCGGCCTAGAGGAGTGTCGAAGATCACCTTCTCGATTTTGAGTCCTTTCTTAGTACATATCAGATCCAGTAGGGATTTCTCTTTCGTGGACGAAGGGAGGTGATCATGAGGTGGAAATAAGAGTTAGTCATGCAGGTCTTCCTTTAAGTGTTCCCTCGGTGTACCTTGGGAATTCAGCGCATGTGAGTTGAAACCATCAGCAATTAAAATGTGACTCTACTTCCTATTTGTTATTAGCCTCAGTACAGCCGCCAAGTTGATGCCCATCTCATTTGTAGAAGATAGAAGCGGTAGACGTAGCGTCGCTTCTCTTCAGAAGTACGGGGGCGCCAGATGGAATCGGGCGGTGTTGTTTCCCCATTCTTTGTGGATTCACACTGGAACTGGCTGCAATAATGCAGCTCCACCTACCACTTTTGGTGACTCAATCATACCAGAAAACGAAGTTACCTGTTAGCGCGATCTCGACGCCCATTATCTCGCAGTACAACCATGTTTCCGTGGTAGAGATGAGATCCGAAACCTTTGAGACTTCTCGGATTCTTAATTTCACTAATTTGTTAAATCAGCGTTGGGCATTTGTGTGCATGCAACAGGGCCTATCGGAAAGCAGTAGCGTGCTGTATTTGGTGCATGAAGTAAGCGAATTTACGACGATTGATGTAGGATCGGTTGCAAATGTCTTGTTTGGTACCAATTCTTTCGCAGTTACACCTACCTAAGCTGTTACTTTCCCAGCTGAAGTCATATAGTGTGTGTGTGTGTGTGTGGTCGAGCGGCAGTGGGGTCAGATGAACAGCTCCGCCCGCTGACTAGTGAATGTCGCTGGAGGGAGAAGCTGACGTTGCAACTCAAGAGAGGGTCACCAACTCCGTGATAATGGAGCGTGGAAAAAGAATACGATGATCTAGCCAGTCGAATGCCTTCGAAAAACCTAGGTGCATCACAGCAACCTCCTCTCCAGCGTCAGCTGACTCTATCCAACTACTCCCTGGCAGCCATCAAATGATCCTCTTCAGATTATACGGGACATCATTCTCAGCCGATTTCAGTGGCGTATTAGTTACCTTTGCCTAATTATATTGTCTGCGCAAGATGTGTCTCCGAATGAGTTATAATGTAGGAGGAGGTTATAATGCGAAGCAGTGGAAACCTCAAGGCTGATGTTTCTTCAATCGTGCCTTAACCTCATATGGTAGCTAGGTATTTATGGCAGTGTGTCATGTAGAAAGTGCCTTGTTCTTGATGGTTTGCAGGGCGCGTTTCACTTTTCTATCACATCCTAATTATATCCTCCATTGTATGCAACATTAGTAGAGCCACCTTGTCTGAATGGTCGTAAAATATTACTTCAAACAACTGATCTACTCTTACAGTACTTGTTTGTTACGCAACTCAAGTGCAAGTTCCATATCTACTCGTATGACACTTACGGCGTTTGTGAAAACAGTTAATCTGTGGCTCACTTCGCATCAATTTTAGTACACTCAAATTGGCATGGGAAATTCATGACGTACCTTATACCGCAGCGGAAATACCACAGTGTAACAAGGATATGCAGTTAGCTGAGTATTTACAAGTGTCGCAGCCACCACATTTCGAATGAAACTTGGTTCCTGTACGTCCACCATCACCTCTTGCATGACAGATTTGTCACCGAGCGGAAAACTCGCCACTTCCACAAATCACTAGAAAATTTGACGTGACAAACTAATCATGTCAGGGTTTCAAGTTACCTTATTGTCACATCATGTGAGTGTCTCATATTCTGATACCATTAAAATGCATAACTGAACACTTACTTCTTTTACATGTGTAAAGCGGTTTCGAGAACTCTCTCAGTTACACCGCTTAGCTCTACAGTCCATCTGAGGACTCCCCACTGCTCCACTCAGAAGGGAAAGCGGGCCGACAGCTGACCGCCCCGCCTATGTTGTTCACAAGCGAAATAGTAACTGAAAAGAGAATAGGGAACAGCATACTCTTGGCACACACAAAACAAATTTATGTAATGTGCACAGGGCAATTCGGTATTAGCTTTGCTTATTAGACTCATTGTCATTTGTCGTGAATTGGTGAATGGTAAGATGCACCCAAACTTAGTGTGTAGAGCGAAGCACATTACTGACTGGTAACCGGTTGCTGTTACGAGTTTCTTCATTTGAATTCTACTTACACCTGAAACTTGGCTCTTCTTTTTCTGTTGTTCCAAAGTCAACACCGAGCAGCGGTCTGGAATATTCCAGTAGAATGTCGGACGAGGGGACGCAAACGCATCTTCCAGGTATGCTTTTTGCTTGTGCTGACTTAGTACTTGAGGAGGAATTGCACTATACCCCATCCTCCTTGTAAGATTACACGGAGCCAATTATGGTAGTCATTTCAGTTTCTTGTTCTGTGATAACGAAGGGTGCAAGGGCACACTAGGCACTAAATTCTTGAGACCCTGTCCGCAACGGACTCATCGCCTTTCTTGAAAATGCACGCTGTGGAACACACAATGTCCCCCGTCGTCCAAAGGAGCTTGGTCCTAGGAAGTATAAATTCTGATTCAGACTCAAATGGGGCAGGAGAATAAAGGAAAAACCTGTGATCCTTCCATCATTCATGCGTCGTTAAGCCACGGTAAAGTTCAATGATATGGTTAACTATTTATGGGAACGAAACGGACAAGCTCATATCACTCAATCGTCAATCACTCAAAACCCACTTGTCCTGCACTGGCAGTCTCCGCTGTGCTGACTATGTACAATAGGTGAAGAAAAAGTAGAGTAATAAACTAAACATATCACTTGAAGGTGTGGACGAACTTTGACAAGCGTAGTGGTGAGTAAACCAAAAGAAAAGATCTTAACAAAAAGAATGGAAAGGACTAGGGAATCTCCGGAACTGCGGGTTGTTAGTGTCCATGCGATGTTTGAGCTCTGCCATCGTGTGTGACTATACAGCAACCCTGTGTAGCACATTCCAAGGGCTTAGCACTCTACATTCTAAATAAGTATCAGTCCAAATCCGATCAGAAAGGCTTTTGTACAGCTTCCTCGGATGCTTGCGAAGAGTTGACAACCTAGTGGGTTAAGATCCAAAGTAGATCAGAGTCGATCCGCCATGTCAAATCGAAGAGAAGATGCCAATAGTGAAACGAGAACATCCCCAGTTTGAGCAACATGTCAGGTTACGACAGGTACTGCAAATCACAAAATCCGTTCTGCCGTCATCCTGAGTTAGATAAGGAGGCTAAACCTGGTCGCAATACTCCAGAAGCAGTCTAACAGACGTTGTAAACAATCTGATGTCTACTTTCTCTATCAGCATCCCAAATGATCTGCAGATCATGCAGTGGGCTGCGAAGCCCTTACAAGCTGCCTTTCTCCCGTTTCCCTGGGTTTGAACTCAGATGAAAAAGTGATGCCTAAATCAATCTGCTGGGATACACGAGGTGTTTCGTTTCCACAAAGCACGTATTGCGTCATCAATCTATTTGACCCTATGCGCAAAACGGAACGGCTTTTGTGATTTCTTGGCATCTATCACAAACGTATCTGTCTATAAGTCTGTAAAACGATTGTTATAAAGCTTGAGAGCTAGCAGGGTCGCTCCCTGTGCACCAGGAATTCAACTTGTCCGCAAACATCAGGGTAGATATCCTCACCACTTCCGGTAGTTTATCTACATGCACGGCGAACAGCTGCGGAACGAGGGCTGATCCCTGCGGGCCATAACTCAGAACAGCCTGTCAAAAGGGAAGGCCAGAGTCCACCTGCGTACATACATTTTGTCAGTTGTTAAATGCCGATAGCCACTGAGGGGCGTGTCCAGAGGCGCAGTAGGAACGCAGCTTTAGAGAAAGAAGAGAATGGGAAAGTGAAAAGCTTATAAGAAGTTCATGAATGTCACGTCCACTGTTTAACCTTGATCGACAGACTCTGCCCAGTTCTCACGAGCAACAAGCAAGTTGGTCAGGCACAAATAACTTTTGTGCAAACCGTGTTAAAGCTGGTTGAAGAGACCAGACACCCTGATATTGTTTTTTGTGGATATCTCTCACCAGCTTCGCTAGTAGTTTAACCAACCCACTTGTTAAACTAATGTGCTCGTACCTCATAAGTAGGTGCTTATTGCCACGTTAAAAATAGTGCATAAGACCGCCTCATTCCAGTTAGTAGGCAGAGCGCAGCTTGCAAACTACTACTCAAACAAGCTTTACATGTTCACAAATTCCATTTACCGTACATATAACGGCTTGGTAGGAATAGCATCGATGCAAAAACTAGTGCGATGCAACCTACACTGCAGTGAAAGTACCTGAGCAGTTGACACAGACATATCAGCCAGAAAGGAGTTTGCTGGAACTGTCTTCTAAATTAGCGGCTGACAAAGGGGGACTCTAAAACGAACGCTCTCGTATACTGCTCACCAAGCATGTAGGTCTTGTGGTAATCCCATCAGCTCTGTACAACACGGGGATAGATGGGTTTACATAACTTCGTCTTCTGATATAAACGGCAGTCGTATCGTGTTGGTTTAAGCGTAGTTTCCTAATTTCCTTCCATAGTGAAGTCGGGCGGCACACACATGCTGATTACATGCAATCCGGATCACTTGATAATGCCGTAAGTATGTCGCAATATAAGTTTATCAAGACTTGACCTCTCTGTTCAGCAGTTGACATGCGGGTACATCAAGCCATGATGTCTTGGCGTTTGCTTTCTTACTAACAGAGTAAAATGCCAGGAGTTATCCCATTCCTTCTGAGCATTACCCGCTGCTGAAATGTTACGAGGTGACAGGGTGGCTTTGCATCTAAATGCATGGGAGTCAGTTCAGCAGTTCTTTAAACTTCCGGTAGCAGGCTTTTCTTGAGCTCTACCGAGAGCACACTCGAATGCAATGCACGCGTCGTCACTAGCTACAAGTGGTAGACCGTAAACTATATAGTTTGCGAAGTCGACTGGCTTTGTGAAAATAACGTCAAGACTCAGTGGAGCTTATCCTTCCATGAACCTGCTTAGATAATCCGAAAACTGGTATAGGGCGCTTTCAACAACAACTCTGCGCTCACAGATTCGCAAGCTTGGTTGCGGCAAGCTATCACACCATCATCATCAGTATATCAGTACATGTTAGCTGAGGCTGAGAAACACCTCTGCTAATGTGCCGCAACACATAAAGATAAGAGCCTAAAATAAAATTTCCGTGACAAAAGAATATAATGTTAAATATTATGTTGTACGTTCTGCATGAGATCGGGAATGGAGGGGGAACCTAAAGGGATGGGGAATGGACAAAGGAACTCACAACACAAACGACATTGGGGGCGGCTCTTCGCTATACCAGCAAGTGTGTCCAACCATACGTATGCATCGTCCTTAGGACCCCAACCAGGCACTCGGGATGCACCAACCGACGTCAGTTTCGAAGTGGGTTTCCAGTGCTCTTAAGCAAGTCATCGCTTGGCCTCCCCTCCTCCTCTTCCAACTGCACCCACAATGCGCAAACAATGCAGGTCGCTGGAGTCGGTGTGTTGGCATGCGCAACACGTGGCCCACCCATCGGAGCCTGGTGCGTGATATAATAGGGCTAAGCGGTACACTCGCACTTCATGCACCAAATAAGCGACGCCGAACACGCTCATTGCTCACGCTGTGTTCCCACTAGACATGAGCTAAGCTGCAAAGGCAATGATAACCGAAGGTGACGAGCCCCTTTATGTCTGTCGACCTGATGGGCCAGGTTTTACAACCGTACAGGAGTGTTAAACGGACGGCTGCGTTCTAAATGCTGTCCTTCAGGGCGAGAGTAATGTCGCGTCTGCGCCACGGGTGGCGGAAATTGGCTAAAGCACCTCGAGCTTGTGCTATACGGCTCGTAAACTCTTCGATCCCACGGGCGCTACTATAGCTGCCCATGTACTTGAATTCCTGTACGACTTCTAGCTGGTCATCACAAAGCGCCGCGGTTGGTCCCTGCCAATCTGAGAATTGCTATCTCAGAAATGTTAAGTTCACCCATCACCAAGCCCCGGTTTGTTGAGTGGTTGCGAATAAGAGCAATGTCACGACCGGCAGCGCTACCAGAGTTCCCAAACACCAACACAATTTCAAGTTGCGAAGAAAAAGTACACATTTCTTATTATCTCCTCAGTACCGTTATGTGTGTATGTAATCTCAACAGACCATCAACTAGACATAGAGCCAACAAAAACCATGGTGATTAGCAGATAAGGGAAGTCATCGCGTCATAATCATCGTGGCGTAGTACTCATAGGTGAGCAACACACTTCAGCTGCTATGACGCAGGAAGAAAAGAACATTTTGACAAAAACTAGAACAATTTTTAGCTGTTTTTTACACGCCGATTTTTCTCTTTTCTGTCTTTTTCAATGCTTAAATCATTAAACATGTGAAGCAATGCAATTGTTCACACATTTCTTCCACTGATTTCGTTTGCAGGCCATGTTCTCAAGAGTGTTAAGCCATTGGTACTCCTCATCTTTGGGTCCCCATCCTGGAAGACGTACAGGTCCAACAGCGGCTAGACACGACATCAGCGATTTCATGTGCTGTCGCCAAGTGGAAGGCTGACTACCATACGGTCACCTCCAGCCAGGTCCTTGACGAACGAATAGAGTGCGACTCGGTAGACGCTCAGGTGCCACGCGTAGGCCGTGACCGAGCCATCTCAACTGATGCAGCAAAACCAGTTTGTTGAAGGGAATACTCAGATTGCCCAAGATGCGACGTCAAACGTCATTACTGTTAACTCGATGTTGCCACCAAACACGAGCGATCCTCCTTAAGCAACCGTTATCGAATGCAGAAAGACGACGCATGCGAATCGGCGAAGACTCACTCCCGTACAGCACTAAGCGAACAGATGCGCTGTAAACGCGACCCTTTAGCGAGGATGAGACGTCGCAACAACGCCACAAGTGCCTCAGATTGGCAACGGCTGATCGGGCTTTAGCACTACGAAGAGAACCTTTTTTGCTGATAGTGCCCTCAGCAAAAACACAGCTCCCAAGGTAGACGAAACTATGTACCTGTTCAAGTTTTGCACCTTTGAAACTGAGCAAGGATCGGGTGAAACCCAATCATTGAGCAGTACTTTACACTTCGATGGGGCGAAACTCATAACATACTTAAATGCTTCAACTGTCAAACCATCCAGAATGAGTTGCATGCCTTGAGGATCGTCACCAAGTAAGGCGATATCATCAGCATTCTCCAAGTCGGTCGCGCGCTCACCCGGTAGAAGATCTAGGCCAAAAGGTTGCAAACCTTC